CTTGGCCATGAGAAGGTGGGTTATATTTGTTACGATAAAATTTGTTATAAAAAAATTATTTTGGTGATGGGACTCGTTGAAATTTTGGAAAAAGTAAAGAATCTCGAGTTCGGGTATTGGTATTTATATGTGTCTTGTCACTAACTCCATTATAAAATCAATTGTATATATATTAACTAGTTATGTACGATTACGAATGATGATTGACAGAACATATGAAATCAACAAATGATAGTTGTAGTAGAACGTGATTATTTCATGAATGGAAAATCTATTTTGGGCATATAGTTTATTCTCGGATATAGCGGAGCTAGACTCAAAGAGTCATTTCAAGGAAATAGTATCTTTGACACTTAAGTATCAAAACTGGTTCATAAATTGCACTGGTAAATAGTTATGAGATTTTATCATGAGCAGATGTTGATAACGAAACATGTAATTTTATCACGATATATTTTCAGTTTATAGTAAGTAATAACTTGTGTAACTCAATATCTTCGCTAAAATTATTAACCTATCATGTGATATGTGTTATAGAATGAATTCGAATGTAATAGAACCCGCATGTATCATCAGGTTAACCCCTTTACACCTGTGAAAACTTAAATATACACGTATGTTACGCGTCTCTTCCTCTAATACATTTATTTTTGACTTTTTAAAATATAGGCTTTTAGGACGCGCCGACTTTTTTTTTGACAAAATAAAATTAGGATCAAAATTTAAAAAAAACAATAAATCTATTTTCACAAACGATGTCTGAACGTGGAACTCACGAACCATACTTCGGGTATAACGGTAAGTTCTATAACTTGCAATCTGGCTTTAATAAAAATTTATTCATTTTCTAATCAATATTTAACTTCTTAGCCCTGGTCGACTATTTACAAATCTATAAAAACGCGTCGTACCGCAGTTTTCTCGATCTTAATAGAGATGTAATAATTTCTTCGACAACAAGTTCTAGCTGGAATTATCTTGATAATCTTTGGGCTGGTCGTTTTTTGCGTGAAGCAAGAAAATTAGGAGCTATTTTGGATGAAAAGGTGCGTTAATTCTTTTATTTTGCAAAGGAAGGGTAACTCCTTAATCGATAATATGTCTTGACATTGCCTTGACTTTGGAGAATTACTGGGCTTGTTTGCTTGGTACCCACTCCAAGTCCTCAGTTCAGGCACCCTCACTTTGTTGTTGGTAGTGTTTGGACCTGAGCAGAAATTGCTATTATATAATTATAATAATTTACCCGGAGCCTATTGTGGATACTATTAATCGAGAAGGGGACGAAATAGGAGAATATGATTATAATGATCCACCACCGTCAAGACGTTCCGTAGTATCATCTCCGTACCCTCCTTCATCAAGTAATTCTCCATCACCACCTCCAACACCACCAAGAAGTGAGAGTTCTCCCGTTCAACAACCTTTAGGTGGTCGAAGGATTGCCAGACAATTTCTGTTCAGGTTCAAACACTAGCTTTTGGTAAAGGACTGTTGGTTCCGAAGGAGGAATCAGCTATGAACCTTTCTTTATCACTAAATAAAAAAGTTGATGCACTGCTAACATTTCTTCTCATAACAGGTAAAATTAGAACGTTCATGCAGATGGTTGAGGCCATACTGGGATGGTATAATTAAAGAATATAATAAGGTAAGAATAATAAACAATACAATGGTTGTATGTATGTATATTGTTCATTAACTAACTAAAACTTTTACTATAGAATTTCGCTTTAAAATGTTTTGCATATAAAATTATAAATATTATGAATCCAGAACAAATTCCCGAAAATTATCAAAATCAAACCATTTGTGAAATATGTAGAAAAGAAATATCTCCCCAATTTCCCGAACCGATAACCATTTTAACATGTAAACATATGTTCCACCAAAAATGTCTTAAACCACATTGTCCACTTTGTCAAGATCCCGAAGAACATGACCATTGTGATGATAGCGTTGGTAGTTCTGGAAGCGGTTATGGTAATGATGCCGGTAATGGCATTGGTACTGACCCTCATCCTCCTGGCAGTTCTGAAGTTGTTGATAACAATGAGCAAGATGATTATTTCAGTTTTGGTAATGGTTTAATTAATGATGCTGGGAATTATAATGACTATAATGATAATGATGGTAAAAATAATGACAATAACAATATCAACAATAATGGCAATAATGGCAATTATAACAATAACAATTATAACAATAATAATGACAATAATGGTAATAATGATAATAGCAGTAATAATAATAATAATAATATCAATAATAACAATAATAGCATTGGTGGTTCTATTAAACGAAAAAAAAGAGCATCTCGTCGGGTTAATAATAATAATAATAATAATAACAATAATAGTGGCAATAGCGGTAATATCGTCAATGTTGGCGAAGATAATAATAGTAACAACAA